TCTCTTGAATGTCACAACGAGAAAAGCAGCATAATTCTCCGTCAGAGTTCAAATATTAATAACTTGTCGACTATCTGGAAGCCTTCCTTTGAATCCCCATTAAGCCAGAGCCAGCAGAAATATTCAATGGATATTAATTTCCAGTACATGCTCACCCTCGCGCTTGCCCACTTCAAAACGAATGGGGTCAATTTAACACACAACTGAAGTCATAAGCTACAGTCAGAGCCTGCGTACTCAAATGACAACCTCGTATCTTAGTTAGTTAGTTAGTTATTGGAGAGGGTGGGTTTCCCCATGCACCGAGACCAGTATTGGTCCATTGCGCTTCCCTCTATGATATTCTACCAGTCTCTATACCCTAACGATATTGATGCGAACCATCAGTCCCGACCGAGCCAGCGAGTTCGGCCTCTACTGGCTTGGCGGTATCTGTAATGCTTCCCCCATCTATCAGAGGCGTTATAGACTAATGTTGGGAGGGAAATTTCCTTGAATTTAGTGACCTCCTTTGGAGACATGAGGTTCCTTTACGTGTCGCAAAGCTACGACACGGGACCCACGGCTTAAAGTCCCTCCCGGAGGACTTGTTCCCTGAATTTTTCCGCCCTTAAAAATTCCACGACCTCCGCACTCACTTACTTATGGAGCTGAGTCCTTCTTGAGGAGAAGCCAAATCTGCCGCTACTCAAGAATTTCCCAAAATTTTATGTAAGCCAAAGGTTCATTACCGTGTTCACAAGAGCCCGCCACTGGTCCCTACTCTGAGCCAGATCAATCCAATCCATATCATCCCATCCTACCTCTCTAAGATCCATTTTAATATTGTCCATCCAACCTTCCTAGTGTTCTCTTTCCTTCTGGCTTTCCCACCAATATCCTATATGCATTCCTCTTCTCCCCCATTCGTGCTACATGCCCTGCCCACGTCATCCTCCTTGACTTGATCATTCTAACTATACTTGGAGAAGAGTACAAGTTATTAAGCTCTTCATGATGCAGTTTTCTCCAACCTCCTGTCACTTCATCCCTCTTCGGTCTAGATATCCTCCTCAACACTCGGTTCTCAAACACCCTCAGTCTATGTTCCTCCTTTTATGTCAGAGACCAAGTTTCACACCCATACAGAACCACAGGCAAAATTATAGTTTTGTATATTCCAATTGTTATGTTTTTGAACAGCAGACGAGAAGACAAAAGGTTCTGGACTGAATGGTAGCAAGCATTACCCGAGTTCAGTCTCCTCTTAATTTCCTGCTGAATCAGGTTTTGATTTGTTATCGTCGTTCCCAAATATCTGAACTGTGCCACATTTCCAAAACATCTGTTTCCTATCTTTATGTCATGATTTTGCCCTGCATTTTGGTCACGAGACAGCAACATATACTTAGTTTTCTCTGTGTTTACTTCTAGACCAAACTCTTTACTTGCGTTAATTAAATTTTGTGTGTTTTTACTAATTTGATTTGTCTCATTCTGGTCCGTCACACTATCAATTACAAAGTAGCTAACTTTCAGTCCAGTATGACATACAGGTTTACAACACTTCAG